ACACTTAGGCATAGTACACTTGGGATGCATACCTGCAAAGAATAGTCTTAACACTTGTCAGTCGAATGCAGCCTATTACCCACAACTGTGCATCATGTCCCTTGTGTAAAAGCACCAGGAGCAGCACAGATCTGAGTCACATTCCCCCAAAGGAGAAGCCCAGCTAGTAATAAAAGAAAGCATCAATATGAGTTTAAATTGCACATCACGTGCGTGTTTGGCTGAATTGCACATCACGGTTTGCACCAAAAAGCTCAAGCGGTCATGCAGGTATAAAACATGGGTATGTATTGTATGCACAATCTGGTGAATTGTACAAAAGCTGCAATATTGTCTGGCAGCTCCTTAGGGGAAGTGGAAGAGGGGAAGCAATCTCCCAGAAGAAGTGATTTGGGTTCTCCAAACGTACTGTACACATGATACCCCCTTATGCCAAATCAGAACATTTGTCCTCTGTGGTCAGTACTGACTGATAGTGCCTCTCCACTGTCTGAGAGCTGGAGTGGTGTATTGGTTCAAGTATCTGAGTGGGATCTGGGAGTATTTGTGCCTTAAGTGCTGCCAAGTCCCTTCCGACTTATGGCGACCCCATGAATTAACGACCTCCAAAGCGTCCTATTGCTAGCAGCCATTCTCAGGTCTTGCATACGGAGGGCCTTTGTGGCTTCCTTGATTGAGTCCGTCCATCTCACGCTGGGTCTTCCTCTTTTCCTGCTGCCTTCCACTTTTCATAACATGAAACTAGTACCTACGAGGTACTAGTGTCCGGAAACCGCGGGGCAAGGGCGGGCATCTGACCGCGTTTCCAGTGGACTTCCGTGGCATCCGGCGCTCGCCCATGTCCCGTCGCAAAGAAGGTTTTTTTTTCCAAGTCTCCACAGGATGCCCACAAGCACCCAACGGAGCATGTGCACAAACAGGAAGCGGCGTTTGCCACAGGAGCCGCGCGGCGCGAGTGCCGGTTTGAACGCGCCGTGTTGCTTCTTTGCCACGCTGTGGACTAGCCATCTGATCTGCACCTGACGCCTACCCACGGGACCTCCAAAGGACTTCTGATCGGGCTGCCGCGTGTTATTTTCCTCCGGGGCAATTAGCCACGCCTCCCCCTCGCATTTTCCGGCCCGTGTGACCGGGGCCATGATTGTCTTTACCACTGACTCTTGTCTTCTCATAATGTGACCAAAGTACGATTGCCTCTGTTCAGTCATTGGCCCCTGCCACACGCAGGGGAAAAGGCGCTTGAAGGCGCGGCTTTTAAAAGCCGTGCCAATGTTGACACGGCGCGGCGGGATCCCCCGGATCCCCCGGCCGCGCCGCCTTTTCTCCCCGGCGCGATCAAATGCCGGGG